AGCTTTCTATGAAAGCCTCAGGTTTCTGACTGCTTCTTCTTTTTTGTGTTTCTTTCCCTAAACCCAGGTAACTAAACATTGAACTAGATGTTTCAACTTGGTGACTACCTTAAAGACTCAAGAGATTTAAAGTCTTGAGAGGTTCAGGTGGCTTATACTGATATGTAATTCCTGAAGCTACTATCACACTTTTCAGAGGATAATATGACTAACAAGATGATAAGCCCTTCCCCCTGTGGTAGGAGGGGCATTTGTTTTATAAAAGCTGGGATGATTTCCTTTTAAGAGGGCAAGAAAGCCATTCTTGGGATCATGATTGGTTTGACTTCCTTGGAACTGGAGCCTAAAAGGCTCAGCCAATGGAAGGTTAGCATTAGAGACTTTAGAAAGATCCCCATTGCCTTATGGAAATATCTTTCTAGCCTAGTGATTCAGATAAAATAGCTACTTTCTTTACCTTAGGTATTTTATCCTTTGTTATTAGTAATATAATTTTTATTGCATTTTATGGTACATGTGAAGCAAGGTAACACAATGGAGAGAGCACTGGGCCTGACATCAGGAAGACCTGAGTTCAAAGTGAGAAAAATGATTATTTTCTTGTTATATTAATAACAAATTTTATATATAGGATCCACTTCCCTCATTCAATGTCCAGTCTCTTAAGTATATTTCTGACCTTGCCCAAAGAATTCACCCCACCCAAACCATGTAATCTAGGTGAATTCTGGCCCATTGTGTTCTACCCAGGTAGGATTGGGGAGGAGAATAGATCTTTTCATGGACGTTTGAACCAAGACAAGTCACTTAACTTCTGTTTGCCTCAGTTTCCTCATCTGTAAAATAGGGATAATAATAGCATCTACCTCCCACGGTTGTAGGGAGACTCAATGAGATCACTGTAAAGTGCTTAACCCAGTGACTGGTACATAGTAAGCACTATATAAATATTTGTTGTTGTTTGTTCATTTATTCAGTGATGTCTAACTCTTCATGAATCCATGGACCATATTGTCCATGGGGTTTTCTTCGCAGAGATACTGGAATAGTTTGCCATTTCTTTCTCCAATGGATTAAGGTCACACCATTATTAAATGTCTGTGGTTGGATTTGAACTCAGGTCTTCCTGACTCCAGGCCTAGCTAGCGCTCTATCCACTGAGCCATCTAGCTGTCCAATATAAATGTTAGCTAGTATTATTAGCTATTAGTTATCTACAGGAGACTCAGAGTATGAGAAGGCTTTTACCAACAAATAACTGTGGAGGTTACAGAGAAATTTAAAGAGTAAGCTAATGAATCATTAGAAAAATTGTTAATGAGGGTGTGCTCTAATGAGCACAACTGAGAGTTTTTGTCAGTTTCAGAGTTCTATTAGCTTAGAGAGATGACAGACAAATTGCCCTTGAAAAGTCAGCTAAACCAATTAGTTATAAGAGACACAGAACTAGAGACCAGGCATTATGGAAGACATTGTAAAAATTAAAGTTTTATTGGTTGTGCAACAATCATCAATAATACTTCTTTTTAAGAAGACAAAAACCTTTCCTATAAACCTAAAGTCCATGGACATCTCATAAAATTTCTCAATCCATTTCCACATTCTGGAGCTAGGAGGTTTCCATGGAAGGGCAATTTGATTAAACAAACTTCCCCTCCACAGATAATCAAGTTCATACTCTGTGCTTAACATCTTTTTTTAATCTTGTCTTTACATGCTCAGCTCTCTTAGCTCCCATTACCAAATCCCTCCCTTCCCCTATCCCCAACTTTGTTTATTTGTTTAGTTGGTTAGCTATTTTTTCCATTTCATTTAACATTTTTTTAAACCTTTCTTCTCTTCCAGGTTAAACCCTCCCTTCTGACAAAGAAAAACAATTAAGAGAAAAAAATCCAACATTGTAACAGCAACTACCCATTTAATTATCTGTTCTTTAGATCCTTCATTGGTTTTTCAGTTATTCAGAGTCAATGTCTGTTAAGTGATCTTTTAATTTATATTACCATAATTGTTGTGTATGCTGATCTTTGGGTTCTCATTTCACTCTTCATCACTTCATGCAGCCTTTATGTCATGTCTTATAGCTTATTAATATTCCCTTACATTCTTACACCATAGGTTTTTCAGCCAATCTCCAATCAATGGGCTTTGTTTCCATTTCTTTGCTACCACAAAGAGTGCTACTGTGAATATTTTGCTATGTAAGAACCTTTGTTTCTGTTTTTGTTTTCTTTGAGGTATACATCCTGTAATCGATAGTGTAATCATTCTATTTGCATAGTTCCAAATTAATATCCAGAAGCTGGACTAATTCACAGATCCACCAAGTGCATTAGTGTGTATGTGCCCATCTTCTCACAGTCCTTCTAATATTGACTATTCCCCTTTTTTTGTCATCTTTTTACAGTTGCATAATATGAGATGAAATCTCAGAATTGCTTTAATTTGCAGTTCTCTTAAAATTCTCCATTTAGCCGTTCCCTTTTGAAGGTGAAATTTAGGGCTTCTTTTCAGATCTATAATAGTCATAGCCCAGGTAATAGGCTTACCAACACCCAGGAAATGTGTATTTATTCAGTTATCAAGGAGAAGTAATCAAAAATCAAAATAGGTGTCAATGGGGATGATCAGACTTTGTATAGGAAAATATCTTCAAAGCTAGAACAAAGGTCCCCTTCCTTTTATCATTGAGGCTTTTGTCTTATATTTTCCAGACTAGTACAGTCCCTGGCAAATAAAGATAAGGCATAATAAATGCTTACTGGATTAACTAAATCAATCTTATTAATCCTCTAACCTTGTTAAATTGAATTGATTACTTTTGATCACACTCCCTCCATAGGGTTACTTTTGATAACAAAATTGCAAGATGACACAAAAATAAGAGGAATATGTTGGCTGATAGAATCAGCACCCAAAGGGATCTAATCTAATAATACTTGCTTTAATTTACTAAGATGAAATTTAACAAGGCCAAATGTAATCTTATACTTGGGTTCAAAAAAATTACCTTCACAAATATGAGATAGAAGAGACATGGCTAAGCCACTGTTCATCTGGGGAAAAAAATCTGAGGGCTGTAATGAACTATAAACTTAATATGGGTCCACAGCGTGATATGGCAGCCAAAAAAGCTAATGCCATATTAAAATAATAATAATAGTTAGCATTCATATAGCACTTTAAGGTTTATAAAGCACTGTTTAAGGTTTATCAAAGCACTGATACTATATCATTTTATCTTCACAACAACCCTGTGTTGTTATTATCATTATTTTACAGATGAGGAAATTGAGGCAGACAAAGGTTAAGTGACTTATCCAGGGTCACACACTTGGTGTCTTCATTTGGTGGAGGCTTCATTTGAACTCAGGTCCTCCTGATTCCAGGTCCAGTGCTCTATCCACTGTATTAACTAGCTGCCTATAAGAGACATCACTTCCAAGGCAGCTAGGTGGCACAGCAGATAGAGCATGGATGCTGGAGTCAGAAGGACTTGAGTTCAAATGAAGCCTCAGATACTTACTAACTGTGTGACCCTGAGCAAGTCATTTAACCCCAACTGCCAGAGAGAGAGAGAGAGAGAGAGAGAGAGAGAGAGAAACATCACTTGCGGAATGAGGAAGGTTATAAACCCACTCTGCTATGACATTCCGTTCTAAGCATATTTTAATATTTTAATTTTTTTAATAAGGAAATTGATCATCTGAAGAGCATCCAGAGGAGGGTGATCAGAATAGTGAAGAAGCTCAAGACCATGCCATATGAGGATATGCTGAAAGAACTGGGGATGCTTTAGCCTGGAGAAAAAGAATAACACCAGTCTTTAGTTATTTGAAGGTTTGTCCCACAGAAAGGGAATTGGATTTATTCTGCTTATTGCCAAAGTACAGAATAAGACGGGAGTTATACAGAGGCAGACTTAGACTTGATATGAGGAAGAACTTCTTCACAATAAAAGATATACAAAATTTGAATGGGTTGCTTCAGCAGGTAAAACCCTGGACCACCTCAGTCACTGTGAAGGGGAAGAGAATTAATTTCATATTTTAGTTCAGTTCCCATAGTTCCAATCCAAAACCCACCTTACACTCAAATCCAAGGCACTCCAGCTTCTCAGGGCTTCTATGCTGTTGGCAGCCTGTGCCACCTCACCTGCAATTCTGGCTCCATGTCTCCAATTCATGGTCTGGTGGGGATCACCCTGGGTTCCTGAAACTGAAGAGGACAGATAACGCAGAAGAGAAATAAACACCTCTCAGATCCATTCCTCAGAGCTAGGGTAAAAGAATGGGAGCAGGGGAAGGAAAAGACCTTCCCTTCTCACCAGTTCAGTTTATGGTGTCCTCACTGTGGGTGAACTATGATCTTTACTCTCCAGATGCAGCAGAGTACAACAGAAAAAGAACAGCCAGCTGAAGCCTCCATGATAAGCAGTCTGGACATGCTCCAAAGACCCCTCAAGGTAACTCCATGTTAGGAGATTTGGACATGCCCAGACCAACCAGGGTTACACATTTCCCCAACTGAAATTTTCTATTCCCAGCAAATAGTCAGGGTACATTTTTTTTTAACACAGTCCTCATCCCAAATTCACGCACACAACCACTGAGACTAGATCTCTCCTCTCTCCCCTTCTCACAGAGACCTCTCCTCCGGATCTCACAAAGCACAGTGCCTGAGACATAGTAAGCATTTAATAAATGCTTAATTGACCGACTATTAACTGACAAAAACAGATTTCAAGCCTGGGGGAGTTTAACCCCTGAATCAGAGAAGTCAGACTCTTTTGGCAGTTCAGTTCTCTGGCTTTTTTATACTCCAGAGCCCCAGGAAAAAGTACTTAAAATTTAGATTTGTCTAACTGGTTAATTTAGATTTAGAAAGGTACTAAATGTACAATGTAAATTAGGTAGAGGACAGCTATTTATTTTCTCTACATAAAAGAAATGCTTAACACAAGTGACTCATAAGAATTTATTAACAAAGATTTAGACATGTAGTAGCAAATTATAACTGCTATTATGCTCTAATAGGAGACTGATACTTAAAATCTCATAATATGAAGCAGTTTTCAGAACTGCTAAATGGTATATCATCTTTAACCTTGACTCTGCATTGTCTCCCTCAAGGCCTATTATCTTCTAAGAAGCCAAGCCAGGGATGGGGCTCATTCTTCAGTCGGTAGTCATCTTCTCCTCCACAAAGTACTGCCATGGATTCAGGGTGCATCTCCTAGAGTACATCTGGCAGCAAGTGAGGGATCTAGCAGCTCTGAACTTTTCAAACTCACAAAGTCACTTTCAAGGTTGAAAATGTCCATCTCCAGATCACTGGTCACCTATGCTTCAGGGAAAGAAACACAAAGGAGAAAAGACTGTCAGGACCTAGAATTTGGACTCACGTTCACCTAAGAATACATGGGCCTGAATGCTATGTATATATAGTTCACAGTTTCTGTGAAGATCAGAAAGAATACTTGCCATTCTTTTTAGAAAATTCCACACAGGGAATGCTACATGCTCAAGAGAGGAAGGAAAAGAGGGTTCCAGAGAGCAGAGTTACTCCTTTTAGAGTCTTCTGAATAGATGGCTATTCTTATTTCAGGTGACAGTCCTCTCTACAGCCTCCTTATGACTATAGGCAAAGGATAAGGAAGACCAAAGGACCCCAGAATTTGCCACAATACCCCAAAGTGCCAAGCCCTTTAGTGCTGAAGCACACATGGCCCCAGAAGCTACCTAAGGAGCTTATCAAAAACTCCATGGGATGACATCCCTTCAGCACTATCTCTAGATACTTTCCATGGGTTATACTCCAATCTAATCCCTACTACACATTTATTTCCAAGTTACCCCACACCAAACCTAAGAATCTACAGGAACTGAAAGGAGAGATATTTAAAGTTTAGAAAGTTAAGGGTCCATCCTTGGCTTTTTTCCTTTTTCTCTGTATAGCCTTTCCTTTGGCAATTTAATCCACTCCCACTTCAAGTATAATGCCAATATAAATGATCTTTAAATCTATATTTAAAAGGATCATAGAATCATTGGTTTAGAGTTGAAAAGAACCCCCCAGGTCATCTAGTCCAACCCCCTCATTTTTCAGCTATCCCTCCTGCCTGAGAGAAATTATTATTAAGTAACTAATTGCTAATATTGGGGAGATCTAGGATTTTTTCCCTTTCTCATTTGGAGATTAGATCAAAGCTTAGTCTCTAAAGGGCAGGGCAGATGATGAGATGAAATCTTGGAGTTGTTACCCACCCAACTAGAGAACCTTACCAAAAATTTAATCTGGACCATTGTGTTCCACTCTGGCAGGCTAGACTGCCTGAGGCTGGGGCTTGTCTGGCTTGAGATAGTCTTTGTCCATGAGTGACATAATTAGTCATGTCTCCCAGCCCCTCATTAGAATAGGTCTGTCTCTCATTATAATATTCTTTCTCTCATTGCCACCCTCAGGAACACCCACTCTTCCAAAGGCATATAAGCATTAAGTGGGTTCCACAAGGGATCTTTGACATTCTAGAGTGCCACTGACTCCTTTTATTAATTATTGCTAGCATGATTAATAAAATGATTGATTACCCAGAAACTATCTCTCAAACTTTTTACATATCACAAGCCTCTTTTAGATCTGAATCTCCAATAGCCTTCAGGACATACCTCTAGTCCCAACAGCATCTCAAAATTAATGTGTCTAAAACCAAGTTTAATCTTTCTCTTTCAAACCTTTTCTTCCTTCTGAGTTGGAATATTTCTATCAATAGCAGCATCAGTCACCTATTCTTATATCTTACAAAATTTAGTTTTACTTTCACATTTCCCTCTCCCTCTATTCTCACATTTATAATATGCAGTCAACAAGGTATATAACTTCTTCCTCCATGATATTTCTCACATTCATTCCATTCTCTCTACTTTCACTGCTACCACCCTAGAATGGTCCTTCATACCACCCACCTGGTCTATTACAAGAACTGCCTCTCCACCTCCATTTCTTCCTAATCCATCCTTCTTTCTGCTGTAAAAGTAGCATTTCATGTACCTAGATAAAAAAAATTTTTTTTCAATAACTGCTATATTTCCTGCCAAGTAAAATTTAAACTACTTTGCCTAGCATTCATAGCCCTCCACAATCTGATGCCACCCTACTCTTTCCAGACTGGTTTCATGCTACTCTTGTCCTTTATAGATCAACAAATCTGGAATGTTCTCTGTATATCAAACATTTCCTCCACTTTCCTGACTCCCAGCCTTTGATCATGTTCTTCTCTATGTCTGGAATGGTCTTCACCTACTGAATTCATTTATACCCTTTAAAAATCCAACTCAAATGTCACTTCCTACATGAAGCCTTCCCTGATTTTCCCATCAATAATTGCCATATCCCTTCCAGAGGTGGGGAACCTTTGTTTTGTGAAGTTTGGATTCAAAGGGCCACACTTGAGGACCTAGAGAGCTATATGTGGCCTTGAGGCCACAGGTACCCCACCCTGCACTTTAGACCTTATATAGGACTAGGCTTAGTCTGTCTTTAATACACTTATCATGTAATACTGTGTATTAAACCTATCTCTGTGCCTTATCTCCCTACTGGAATGCAAACCACCAGAAATATACTCCAGATTACAAATTTTTATCTCCCTCAAATGGAAGGCACTCCCCAAAAGTTCATTCTTACTCTCTTATAATCAGGAAATAGTTCCAGGTAGTTTTAAAAAGCTGATGCAATTGCCAAGAGGGAAGCATGAAAACTGAAAGACAACTTGGCCCGAGCCTCGGGGGCATCATGACTGCCCCCTGGGAGGGCTCTAATGTGGCCTGCCTGGTGGCAAGATGAGGAGATCGGGCCCAGGCTCACCTCCTGCCACTCAGCAAAGCAGCTGGTGGAGATGATATCTTTTTAATTCAGGCTGCTACTTCTCTTGAGAAATTAAAAGTCCTTTGTAAAGAAGATGAAGAAAATATGAATCCATCAATTCTTATAAAGCTTTACACATAGGCTATATTGGACATGACATATTTTGAAGAGAATAAGTTGGTAGATGAAGATGTTCCAGAAGACACTTCTTTACAGAAAGTAAAGGAATTAATCACTGTTCTTTCAGAACCAGAAGTGGTAGTTAAAGAAAGTAATCTGTATCCAAAACACTCTGATATCCTTGGGACAGAACTACTAGAATGCCTTTATTGGAGAAGGGGAGCCCTACTCTATATGTATTGCCATACTGTGACAGCAAAGGAAGAGTGGCAGTCAGCAAAGACAGATGTGCTTAAAAAGTACCTCAATGATAGAATCAATTACTTGCTAAAGATGTTTAATTTTCGATGCCCTCTTCAACTAAATGAAGATGTTTCTTTTTAAGACATAGACACAGTTAAGTTACTTAGTGTAACTTAAAGTGTATTCAGGGACACTCATTTGCTGGCCATGATGTACAGTGGAGAAATGTGTTATTGGGGACTGAAATATTGTGTAAATGAAGAGCCAGAAAATTGTGACATAGACACTAATGGATCTGCGACAAGCAGCATTTCACTCAAAGAATCCTTGGATTTTCGAGAAATAGGAGAAAAGATTTTAAGAAATTATCTATCTGTTTGTGAATGACCACTGAAAGGACTATCATGGAATACTACAAATGCAAAGAAAATACTAGACTTCTTCCAACATTGCCATCACTAGTACATTCTTACCTTTGTTAATTTTTTCCTGTTTCACCACAAAAAGATATGTTTATCAAGAACTCTGGAAAATAAAAAAAAACTTGCTGATTCTGAACTAATATAATTTTAACTCACATTATACAATGTAATATGGTTATTGATTTTTTTCATCTGTTAAGCTATCAACATCATTTGATTTTTAAAAAACTTTAAACTTCTGAAATAACATCTCAAATGACAATCTGGGGAAAAAAAGAAAGAAAGACAACTTGTGAAAGTGAGTGGAGTGCTCCCTTCTAACGTCTAAACCTGACTCAAAATGCTGACCAAGAGGGAATAAGTCACCATGAGTTAACATGGAATTTGACAGAGAGATTAAATAGGTGTAGATATTATTCCCATTTTACAGTTGAGAAAACTGAGGTTAAGTGAGTTGTCTAGTGTCACACAGCTAACAAGTGTCTAAGGCTGGATTTGAACTCAGGTCTTCCTGACTTCACGCCCAGTACTCTATCCACTATACCACTTAGCTGCCTAAGGAAATGGTTCCTCTGGCCCTGGCCAAATCCTCAAAAGGTCCGGGGCCAGAAGAAATGCTATAGAAGTACATTAGAATTAGAAATGTACTGTACTTGCAAATTATAATAACTCTGAGATACCACTTCACACCTACCAGATTGGCTAATATGATAGAAAAGAAAAATGACAAATGTTAGAGGGGATGTGGAAAAACTAGGACACTACTGCACTACTGAGTTGTGAGCTAGTCTAACCATTCTGGAGAACAATTTGGAATTACATCCAAAGGGCTATATGCATACCATTTGACCCAGCAATACCACTAGTAGGTCTGTATCCTAAAGAGTTCAAAGAAAAGGGAAAAGGAACTATTTGTACAAAAATATTTACAGCAGCCCTTTTTGTGGTGGCAAAGAATTGGAAATTGAAGAGATACCCATCAAATGAGGAATGACTGAAGAAGTTTTGGTACATGATTGTGATGGAATACTATTGTGCTTAAGAAATGACAATTTCCTAGTTTCAGGACAGCTTCAGAAAAACCTAGAAAGACCTATGAACTGATATAAAGTGAAGTGAGCAGAACCAGGAGAACATTGTACACAGTAACAGCAATATTCTATAGAATGCTCAACTGCAAAAGACTTAGTGACTCTGATCAAGATAATGATCCAAGACAATTCCAAAGGACCCATGATGAAAAATGCTATCCACCTCCAGAGAAAGAACTGATGAACTCTAAGTGCAGATGGAAGCATACTTTTTTTTACTTTACTTTTCTTGAGTTTTTGTCTGTGTTTTCTTTTGCAACATGGCTAATATAGAAATATGTTTTGCATGATTTCACATGTATAATCAACATCATCTTGCTTGCTTTCTCAAGAGGTGGGAAAGAGCTTGAAGAAGGGAAAGAATTTGGAATTCAAAAATTTTTTAAATGAATGTTTCAAAAAAATTACATGTAGTTACTATTATAGATATGTTTTGCATGACTACACATGTATAACCTATATCCAATTGCTTGCCTTCTCAATGAGGGATGGTAGGGAAGGCGAAAGGGAGGGAATCTGGAACTCAAAGTTTTAAAAACAAATGTTTAAAAAAAATCTACATGTAATTGGGAAATATTTAATGAAATAAATAAGAAAAATTTCC